TTTTTTTTTTTTTTTTTTTAAACCCGAGTGGGGATCCGGGCTTCTTGTCGGAATCGTCTAGGGTTTGTGTAGGACGGGCAGACGAAGGCCCTGCTGCTAGGGTAACTGTTGCAGGTAACAAACAAAGGCCCCGGCGAACTTCTTCTTCTTCTTCTTGATCATTCGGTAGGAAACGTGAGATACGACAGGCCGTCCACCTACCCCCCCTTCTCAGCTTTTCTTCTTCTTCTTCTCTCCTCCTCCTCTCGTCTTCTTCGTCTCCCCCTCGTCCCCCTTGCATTTTCATCTTCCTCCATATCTTTCTTCTTCTTCGTCGTCTTCCCCTTCTCCCCCACTCGTTTTCTTTCTCCTCCTCTTCTTCTTCCTCTTCTTCTTCCTCTTCTTCTCATTCTTCTTCTCCTTCTTCTTCTCCTTCTTCTTCTTCTTCTAGTTCGTCGACATTCGGTAGGTCATGTGAGACACAACAGGTGAAAAAAAAAAAGAAAACAAAGGCTGTCCTCCTCCCCTCTCATCTTCTTCTTCTTCTCCTTCTTCTCTCCTCGTCGTCCTCTCGTCTTCTCCTTGTTACCCTCCTGCCCCTCGCGTTTTCATCTTTCTCCTTGACCTTTCTTGATCTTCTTCTTCTTCCCCTCCTCACCTCTCTTCTTCTTCTTCTTCTTCTTCTTCTTCTTCTTCTTCTTCTTCTTCTTCTTCTCCATTCGCCAGGTCTTCTTCTCTCCTCTTGTTCTTCTTCCCCTCCTTCCCTACTCCCTCCCTGCTTTTCTCCATCCATCCCTCGCTCCATCCCATCTCACCATCATCCATGGATCCATCACTCCCTCCATCCCATCTCACCATTCTACATTCTCCATCATCCATCCCTCCGTCCCTCCCTCCCTCCATCCCATCTCGCCATCCTCCATCATCCATCCTTCCATCAATCACTACCTCCATCCCTCCCTCCATCCCATCTCGCCATCCCTCCCTCCCTTCACTAGGTCTTCTTCTCTCGCCTTCTCCTTCTTCCCCTCCTTCCCTACTCCCTCCCTGCCTTTCTCCATCCTCCCATCCATCCCTCCCTCCCTCCATCCCTTCTCACCATCCTCCATCATCCATCCATCCATCACTGCCTCCATCCCATCTCGCCATTCTCCATCCTCCATCATCCATTCCTCCCTCCCTCCCTCTCATCTCGCCATCCCCCATCATCCATCATCCATCCCTCCCCCCATCCTCTCACCACCCCTCCCTCCCTTCGCTAGGTCTTCTTCTCTCCTCTTCTTCTTTTTCCCCTCCTACCCTACTCCCTCCCTCTGTGTGTGTGTGTGTGTGCGTGTGTGTGTGTGTGTGCGTTTGTGTGTGTGTGTGTGTGTTTGTGTGTGTGTGTGTGTGTGT